GCCTTCTCACTTGCAGAAATTGTTCTGCATACCCTTCTTTACATATGAAAAAATTTGATTAAAAAATTCGGGGGACACTAGGCAATGTCTCCTTGTGATCCCGGTCTCGTTCAAAAAGCGCTCGTCCGGATCGCGACCTCCCCTTGTGAGCTGTTGAACATTTTCGAAACGGCTTTTTCTCCGGGTCGCCTATAAATTATTGTAAATATGATCCAAATTGTATTATATGTGGTATCATTGTAATCAGAAAAATGTCACAAATGTAATATTGAAAGTCTCGCTTATTCGGCTAGACCCTTACTTTCAGGTATCGCGGCATCACGCAGCCTATTCGTAGGCACTCGACATGCCACCGAGCGTTGCATGTGTGAGTGTGTCTCGGACGGCTGCTCGCACCTTCGACCATATATAAATGGACTGCTCAAGCCTACTCTTTGTACACTGAGCAGAGCGTAACCAACATCTCCATATCAAAAGTGATATTTGACGCTAATGCGCATGCGTCGAATTCGAGAACTATAGCAAAAATTCCATCTCAATGACAGGTTGACTACAGCTTTGACCAATGGTCGAAGAGTAGTTCCTTTGAGTATATAGACATATACTCAACCCCATAAAAAACTTCAAAAGAGTAAAAAAATTACGTCAAGTACGTGAAAAAGTGGAGAACTAAAGGAGTTATCATTGAAAAAAAGAAGATCCCCATAAAAAAGTACAAGAAAGTAGAAAAAGATGTGAAATCAAAATGTGCTGCCAGTACATAAAAGTCCTTCCCAATAAAGTGCAAAGGCGACACTGTGTAACACAATGTAAAATTCGGTGGTTTCCAATTATGCGCAGCTAAACAATTCATGTAAAGTGACTGCTTCACACTTTAGCGGTGACATAAAGAAGCTAAACAGTGTATCATCCACAAACTGAGGCTGTTAAAAAATTTGCCTTGATGTCCGCGGCCTGGAAGTCAAATGCTTGGCGTGACAAGGCAAGGCATCTCAGATCATCAAGACCCATACTTTCTCTCTCGCAGGCTTTTACATAATTTGTCAATTTAAAACTCTTACGATAGGAGTACATTTCCATTGTATTGCGTTTTAAAATATTTCTAAGGATATTCATTGACGCAGATACCTTTCCTCTCGTAAGCTTTCAGATAATTTGTCAGTTTAAAACTCTGACAATATAAGTACACTTTCATTATTTTGCGTTTTGAAGTAATTCTTATTCATCGACAGGACCTTGCCTGGCCACGCCAAGCATTTGACTTCCAGGCCGCGGATATCAAGGCAAATTTTTTAACAGCCTCAGTTTGTGGATGATACGTTGTTTAGCTTCTTCATGTCACCGCTAAAGTGTGAAGCAGTCACTTTACATGAATTGTTTAGCTGCGCATAGTTGGAAACCACCGAATTTTACATTGTGTTACACAGTGTCGCCTTTGCACTTTATTGGAAAGGACTTTCACGTACTGGCAGCTCATTTTGATTTCACATCTTTTTCTACTTTCTTGTACTTTTTTATGAGGATCTTCTTTTTTTCAATGATAACTCCTTTAGTTCTTCACTTTTTCATGTACTTGACGTAATTTTTTTACTTTTTTGAAGTTTTTTATAGAGGTCTCACTTCTTTTTACAAAGATAATTTGTATAGTGAATGACTTCAAATAATAGAAAATGGGAGATCAGTTTGAATCCTTTAAGGTTTCAAAAGTACGTGGAACGCATTGCACAAAGTCTCATTGCAAGAAATTTATTAAAGAAGAAATGAGAAATGATTAGAGTTTTAGAATACAGTTCATACATTCACAGAACGCATGACAGAAAGTCCTGTAACAAATTTAAATAATGAGAAAATGAGAAAAGGAACAGAGATCCACTATTTGTGATACATAATTTATTGTATTACAATAATATAGAAAAAGAGAGGTCAGATTTAGTCCTTTAAGTTCTCAAAAGTATGCACGACACATGACAGAAGGTCTTGTTGCAAGAAATTTAAATGTTACTGACAAAGTGATTACAATAATATAGAAAATGGGAGATCAGTTTGAATCCTTTAAGGTTTCAAAAGTACACGGAACGCATTGCAGTAAGTCTCATTGCAAGCAATTTATTAAAAAAAAAATGTAATCAGTTTATCAGTAACATTTAAATGCAACATGACTTTCTGTCATGTGTCGTGCAGACTTTTGAGAACTTAAAGGACTAAATCTGACCTGTCTTTTTCTATATTATTGTAATACAATAAATTATGTATCACAAATAGTGGATCTCTGTTCCTTTTCTCATTTTCTCATTATTTAAATTTGTTACAGGACTTTCTGTCATGCGTTCTGTGAATGTATGAACTGTATTCTAATACAATAAATTGTGCGTTACAAATAGTTGATTTCTTTTCTTCATTTCTTGCTTCATCTTTAACACTTAAGTTTCTTGCAGTGAGACATCCTGCCATGCGTTCTCTCTCCCTTTCTTTTTACAGTTCATACATACACAGAACGTGTAACAGAAAGTCTTGTTGCAAGCAATTTTAATATTTATCATGAAGTGAAAATAAAAAAAGTGGTCCACTATTTATAACACACAATTTATTGTATTAGAACACTTATTCTTATTTGCACAAAATGAATATTTACTGAAATTTATATTATGAATTGCACACTCAAACACCAAATTTATATATATCTTTCCACAACGACAAGGTAGATATTTTATCACTTATAACCATATACTTCCCAATACAATATCACTACACGTATCCTTTAAAATAATTATTCAATTTGCGGCGTCCAAATGTCACGAACACAAACTGACAGGTTATACAGGTTATAAATGAACGAGTGGCGTGAGCGGCAGCCATATTCCAATTTCGGCCGACGAGCTCTGCCGACTGATTCCGAGAGTCGACGAATCGACGAACAGCCTTAACTCCTATTGGCTAAGTGTTGACGAAAAATCGACTGGAAAAGTATAAGACGGTAATAGTTTTGCATGTATCGTGACATGGTATTACGATATCTCAGTTGTGCGTGTACCGATTTGATTGATTTTGGTTTTATTTGAAAGCTTATATGCGATTTACATGAGAAAAATGCGTTTAAATTTAGAAAATATTGCAGGCGTGATAAGATATTAATGACAGAAGTTTCAAGTTAGGTTAGAATGGACCATCTCTCGTGTAAAAGATAGCGGTAGCGCCACGTTATACAGGGTGGCTGTATAATTTTTCATGAACTTGGCGTCGAGACACTAGAGATAGGCAAAACCCTAGACTTCGAATAAATATGAAGTTTGCTGATATGTTTGTCTCGTTTCCTCTTTTGAAAATTTTCCAAAGAAGGAAACGAGACAAACATATCGACAAACTTCAGATTTATTCGAAGTTTAGGGTTTTGTCCATCTCTGTTACCGCGTCTCTAAATGAAAGCCATAAACCAAGGGTTGAACCATCCACTTCCCTGTAGGGCGGGCAATAGAATACGCCCACAGTAATCCCTGCTTGTCGTAAGAGGCGACTAAAAGGGACAGGACGGACTGCGGGTTATGACGCCCGCGGTCAGGTGAGGAGGGCCTTACGCTTTCCACCGGAGGAGACATTTCGCCAGCATATGGCGGAGGTGGCGTGGGGGGGGGGGGGGGCCAACGGTAGTGTTCACTAGAGATCCCGGAGCCTCCTCTACAGCGCCGAGTCCGGCCACTGTGGAGTTTTAGTAGGTATTTCCCTCTTTCTGAGGGGCGAGTCCCACACTACCCCCTCCTTTCGAGGGGGTGTGCGTAAACGTATTTCTCCACGTAAAAAAAAAAAAAGGGTTGAACCATCCAAAGCGCAACGGACCTCAAATGGTCCGAGCATTAAAGTGTGAAATGTTTGTCATGATATGTTCACTTTTTGTTGTGTTTTATAAAAGTTAAAGAGACAAATTGCACTACTGAATTCCTTATGTTATACTGATGAAAATGGTACCAAACACGATATAATATCGATTAATTTAAGATTTTTCTACTGTGTAACAGCGTGATATGTAGAATTTACATTACGCGAATAATTAAATTTATTTAATTCATTTCGATTAGAAATAAATGTATTGCTTAACTAACAATTATTTATAAAAAAATTTCATAATAATATTTTTTTTACATAAAGAAATAAGTGTTTTGCTTCACATTTTTCAATTTTAATATTTCATCCAGCTAGTGAAAATATTTTTTTTTTTCAATTCAGCCCGGGGGAAAAAACAGTTGCCCACGCCTGGTCTAAACCACGTGGAAAACCGTTTGTAGACTGACGATATGGTAACAACAGAACAGACGACGACAGCGCCACAACGGAAAGTGCGATAGCGAGGCGCCATATTGCCATATAAATCATCAAGATTTCACAGCAACGAAGCTCATCAAGTTTTTTGAAGCAAAGAAGCAATATTTACTCACGATTCTTTTTCTAAAATATCTTTTACATCACTCCGCATGCCACTCCAACGACCAATTTTGCAATTTCGGTCTTGAAACTTTATAAGTAATTAAAGTATGGTTTTTTCTTTTCTTATAGAAGAAATTTGTTTACAAGCATTTTTTCGAAAATCGGGCCTTAGAGTCGCATCCACCAAAGTGTAACGAATATATTAAAACCAGAATTATTAGAAAATATTGCTTCAATATCTTCGAAAAAAATTATACTAGCCTAATCGCCCTGTCCTCGTCTCTCCTGCAATTGTTGTATCTCCCTCTCTGTCCTTGTCCCGGAGTTTCCTACTTTTTCCGCGACTGTCGCTGAAGGAAACTCGGAGTTTGGCTCTGGCTCCTGCGCACCCTGCGGGCGCTTTATCGACATACTCGCATTTTGATTGGTCGGGGTTTTCCGTTAATATTTTCTTATCGGAATCTCGGACAATACTTTCGTTTCGCTAAGGAAAAAATTGTTTCAAATCACCTCCTGAACCACCCCTTTCAAGGTGTTACAACATTGTTTGGACACCCTGTATGTTATATTTCCGTCAGTGGAAAATGTTCCTCATTGAAACCAACCTTTAAGTTTAAGATACACGTGGGCAAATAAACATTTCCGCTGTTTCTGTCAATTTACATCTTGCTGCAACGATGAGAACTCGCTATAAAAATGATAAACGAGAGAGTTTACAGATGAGTAGTGAACATTAATTATTGAATTGAAAGCGTAAAAAAAAACTTGCATTCCATAGATAAATATGAATTGAAACAATTCGAAAAGTTGAGAGCACGTATCCTGAAAAATACACGCGAGAGATGTCACTTTCGTGAAAAATGAGTCTCTCGATGGATCGCATAGGTTAGAATTCCGCACTGTGTTATTTTTTTTTAAATCATGTATTTCATTTGAATGTTGACTGTATTCATATCCTGAAAATGAAACTTTATAAAAAGAAGTATTATTGCACATAAATGCCGATAAAGTAAACGGAGTCGTAAATCATGATACGAGCTGAATGATTTTTAAACACGCAAATTTTTTTCCTTTTTTGTCGACAATATTTATTTCTTTTATAATCTTAAATGAGATTTATATATGTTTAACAGCACGCTTTATTTAATTTTTTATTTCTTCAATAGAGTTCCAAGAATCAAAGAAGTAAACAATGGAAATGTTAAAACTGAAAACTGTGACAGACAAAATATTTGATTTGATGTTTGGAAAAATCAGTATTAAGTTTCCTAAATGTGAACTAAATTTTTACCAAGAGGAATTTTATTTGTCTACCTCCACAAAAAGTATATGTTTATAAATTATGATAAGCCATAGAGAGATTATAAAAAAAATTAGTGATATTGTGTTTATCAAATATATTATCCATGTTATTGAATAATTACATAAAGCTCTGAATTGTTTAGATTATTATAAGCAAATTGCATTAAATAGAGAAGCGTTATAAAATTGGAAAAATGAATTCTCATTGTAATACCTTAAACACGAGATTATATCACCGAGGACAAATTGATGTAATAGACATGCCAACAGAATTAAGTTGTAACTATAAATATTTCTTTGTTTACGAGGATCAGATATCTAAATTCATTGTGTTAAAAGGTTTACATGAAAATACTGCAAGCGAAGTAGCTAGAAAACTCTTAGATACATTGGCCATTATTGGAGCGCCACAAGTTTTGCAAAGCACTAATGGACGCAAGTTCGCAGAACAAGTTGTACAGGAGTTACGTCTTTTGTGGAAAGATTTTATTATACTTCATGGAGAAATCTCAGAGAACAAAGAAAACAGTAGAGATTTTAAAGATTTACTTGAGCGTTGGGTGCAAAAGAACCCATCAAAAACATGGTATGAGGCTTTGAAACATGTTCAGATTTTTGAAAATACAACGTTTTGTTGTGACAATGGAAAAATTCCTTATGATATATTATTTGGGCGGAATGTACATGAAGAATTTCAGAAGATGACTAATGGTATACCCGCAAAAGAAAATATATGGACGGAAGAAGAATGGATTAGTCTTGTGTCTAATAAAAATAATGATATTGAAAAAGATGAGACTGAAGAGTTTAACGAAGATCCAAATTTTATAGGTATCGGTGACATGGATAGTGTAAGTATAATATAAGCGATATAGTAATTAGTGTATTTTTGTTCCTAAATTAATAAATATTTCTTACTTTATCAGTCTAGAGACGATGATAGTGACTCTTATTGCACAATCAAGAATGAGCTTGCAGAAGGTACTACTGGTTTCAATTTTGTTAATGTTAAAAGTGAACCATTGAATATGCATATGGAGGATTCAGTATTTGAAGACGAATCGACGGTAGATAATAAAACAAAATTAGTTTCCGAAAGTCATGATTTGAAGTGTAAAATCTGCCAAAAACAATATATGAAACCTGGTCACTTGAAGAATCATATGAAGATACATGTGAAAGGAAAAAAGTTTGAATGTAAGTTATGTAAAAAAACATTTCACGTTCTCAGTTTATTCGAGAAGCATATGCAACAGTCTCATAGACAAAATGAGCAATCTCGATTGAGTAGTACGAGAAGAAGTAAAGATTCTCGGGAAAAAACAATATTAGACACGGAAACATCCAAATTGGATTATTCATCGAATACAAATATCAGTGAAACAGAATCCACCGTTACGGATGAGGATCCTAAGACAACAACGAATTCTAGTTCTCTGAAAGAAAGAAAACGAAACTCTACAGAGAATCGCTCGCTGAAAGTAAACGGAGACCCAACTCTGAGTTGCACATACTGTAAACAGAAATTTAACTTTCCTAGCGTATTAAAAAGGCACATGCGATCTCACACGAACGAGAGACCCTACATCTGCAAAATTTGTAATAAAAGCTTTAAACAATTAGGACACCTCAGTCAACATTCATTGACACACAAGGATTACCGTTCTTTTCACTGTGCGGTCTGCGGTATAAAATTCGAGTCGTTGGGTTCGTTAAAAGTCCACACTCAGTCGCATAAGGAGGATTATATCTCGAAAACGAAAGAAGCTTTTCGCTTGTTCGAATGTGGTAATTGTAACAAGGTATTCACGACTAAGAGTGTGCTGGAGCGACACATACTTACTCACTCTCACGAACGTCAATTTGCATGTATAATTTGTGGTAAACGATTCAAACAAACGGGGCACTTAAAGTCTCATATGTTAGTTCACACGGGCGAACGGAAATTTGAATGCACGGTCTGCAAAAAAAGATTCAGCCTTTCTAACTCTCTTAAAAAGCACATGTACGTGCATAATGGAGAAAAACCGTATCAGTGCGATGTCTGCGGCGCACGATTCCTCGAGAAAAGAAACTTGAACGGGCACCTTATGACTCATACGAACGAGCGTCCGTTTCGTTGTAAAATTTGTGGGAAACGTTACACCTTGGCGGACACTTTGCGGCGTCATATAAGTGCTGCTCATGAAGAAGGACGAACGTATCAATGCGAAATTTGTGCGAAGATGTTCAAACAACTGGCACATCTCTCTGTCCACAAGAAAGTACACAATGACGAGCGGCCATTCCAGTGTCACTTGTGCGAGAAAAACTTCAAGCATAAAAATGTCCTCAAATCCCATCTAGCCATCCATGCTAACGTGAGACCATTCGAATGCGATGTGTGCAAGGCTACCTTCGTGAGGAAGACGAATTTACAAACACACATTGCGTCCGCCCACATGAACGAACGACCATATGTTTGTACCATTTGTGGGAAACGGTTCAAACAAATTAGTCACCTGAACGGTCACGTTGTGGTTCATAGCAATCTAATGCCTTATCAATGTGATTTCTGTGATCGACGGTGTAACAGACTCGATAATTTGAAAAAACATATGCGTCTCCATACAAAAAACAAAGAAGGAGTAGCTTCTTAAGAGCGAATGTTTTACATAGCTGTCTTGTAAAAGACACAATTCATGAAATTGTTTGAATGTGGAGTTAATCCTTTGCGCTACGATGTCACCTCTAACTACAAAACTATTTTTTCCTGAAACTCTTAAATCACCTCTGATAGAATACTTCATACAGTTGATAAAACAAATTAGTGTTACACAATTTTATTAAAAAAATGCTTTGAAAATATATAATACATAGAAGTCTGATACTATACACTTTTCATCATAATAATATTAATATTCCTTATCAAATGTTCAAATAAATCAATAATTGCATTGAATTGAACATATACCTTATCCCTTTAAATAATGTAAAATGTTTCCAGAGATATGTTATGTGCAATTTGATCATTGTTGGTATTGGTTTATTCTCATACTTGGAGGCTCGTTGTATATTTGTTAGAGCAATATTGTGAAACTTATGACAGGAAGTCATTTTTACATGTAGGAGGTTGAATTAAATATTTAATTCCTTAAAAAAATGTAAATAACAATAAAGTAGATAATTTAATATTATGTGTTTTTTCCGAATAATCAGAAAAATGACATCTAAGTTGGCAGAGAACAAACTAAGAAAACAATTATAGTGCAAAGGGTTAATATGTTCGACGACGTGTGTATTAGCAGTAAAGATAAGTCATTTTTAGAAGCTTTGCTATCAGTCTGTAATGATTGTAATCTTCATTGAGCCCTAATGAATTTTACTTTATTTCTAATGGCATACTTCCATGGAATCATTGTACACTTATAGATTTCAAATATTTTTATATCGCAAATAGAATGTCACGATGTGTGAAAGCTTTATTCTTTTGAATGTATAAAAATCAAAGTGGTAAGTGATCCTAATTCGAACATATCAGAATTAGAATGAACGATAAAAGATTCAAAAGAATATAGCTAAAAAATTCTTCTTGTATTTTTACTAATTCGTACAATAAGTTTTTTCTTATTTGTAAGTTTTACCGCAATCTGAAAACCAAGATAATGTATAATTCTATTGTACAAATATGGCGGATAATGTTTTAATTTGAGATAAAATTTTTAAGATTCATACATGTATATATTCAGAGAAATTATCTGTCCAGTAAACTTATTTCAAATTGTGATAAATGATTCGTTATTGTGTTGCTTTTGAATAAATTACTTAATAAAACTTGTATGCATTTTAAGGCTATGAGATACATTCTTGTTGCGATAAAAAATGTTATACTAATTAGAATAAGAAATTCGATAAGTTGATTAGACAATAATGATACCTAACATTTTTTATTAGTGGTATATATTTATTACATATGGAAATGAGCAAGTGAATTAATTACGAAACTAAATCTAATTTGATGAAAATAAATTCAATAAAATTAATAAATTTTTTAATATACAGGGTAAATTACGAAAAACAGATTACTCAAATATGTATCTCAGTTCGGTTTGAAGATACGAAAAATGTTACGAATGGAATAGGGTGTCCCAAAAATCTTGGAGTTCTTTGAAAGGGGTGGTTCGGAGGATGATTTGAGAAAACCTCGACCAATCAGAGCGCGAGTATGCCTGTGGAGCGCCCGCGGTAGCGTAGGGTCTATGCCGTAGACTATGCGCTAAGCGGCCGTAGCTGCTCTACCGGGATACTCGCGGTCTGATTGCTCGGGATTTTCTGTTAATATTTCTTAAACGAAGCCTCAGACAACATTTTCGCTAAGGAAAAAGTTTCAAGGTGTTACAACATTTTGGGGACACTCTGTATATACAGGATGGTCCACGCAACGTGTGCACCTTTATAACTTACAAAATATGCGTTGCACGAAGAAAGTTTATGTACAAAAGTTACACATGGTTTTAAAGGGTACACTATGCAGTGTGTTAATTTTTTTTACGGGTGATGACGTTTCGGAGATTTAAAGAACAATTTTGTTTTTTTAACCTTTTTAGTGCCAGGCGAAAAAGAGGTGCCTATGCGAGAATAACCGGCCGAATTTCACGGTTTTACTAGGGTTAGGGAAAATGCTCATAAAAACCAAACAAGAAACAATATTTACATGATTCAAAAAGCAGTATATTAAGGACGAAATACAGAACAAAACAATGACACCAGTTTTTCTAAATTCATTGAAAATTATATAAATAACAAAGGTATGCAAGATCATGAAGAAAGTAAAAATTGAGTTCTCTCTTACAAAACGTATTTCCACATACAAAAAGTCATTTTTTCATCATAATCTTATATAGACCATTTATTACATAGTATATACTCTGCATTTCCAATATATTTTGTAACAAGATAAATAATGTTACATAACAAAAATAAAAAATAACTGGAAGGTACATGGTAAGCGCTGGACGGATTATCTCTTTCGAAATACGTAATTGTTATAGGTAATATAACATTGCTGAAACAAAATTATGTTGTCATAAATATATTTATGATGTAATTTTGCATAATACTTCATTATAGTAACATAAATAAAAAAAAAAATTAAAATAAAAAACTATTTTTTTTAACTCTCCCATAATGAAATTAGACCATTTATAACGTATTATACATTTATTTTGAGATTGAGTTCTTCCGCAATACAAATAGGAAAGCGCTACAAGGCGCGGGCTGATATATCGGCTCTGGCACTTCTCGCCAGTGCAGCGAAGGCCTGGATATATCGGCCTACGGCACTAAAAGGGTTAAATAGAATATTATATTTTTTTATACAAAAATATGGCGCAGTATCGAATTTTGAATAAAAAAGTATTGAGCTTTATTAGCCCTAAACCTAATAGGTAACGAGTAATTTCACTTCATTATTTGACAATTTTCTTCGCGTAATATCAAGTAGGAGATTCAACCTTATCACAGATTTCCACAGGATAACGATGTTTACCTGATAGTGTTTGTCAACACGACAACATCTATCATGATCCGAAATTTTCTATCATGTTCGTGATCCAGTATTGAAGTTACCTTCGGCGTATGTGTGTAATTACTAGGCAGATAAAGAAAAAATGAAATTTTTTAATGACGAAAAAGTTGATATGTTTTATTAACCGACTTCGAAAAGGAGGAGGTTACTCAATTCGACATGTATTTTTTTTTTATGTATGTTACTCGATTACACCGAGACGGCTTGACCAATGGGGATAAATCTTCTTGCATCTGGTAGGGCTTCGTGGCTCTTAAAAGCTTAAAAAGACATTCGACCTACTTCCATTTTTTACCACTTTATTGCACTTTTTATTGCAAAATTATACTATTTCACGTATGTTCGGTCTGAATTCGATGAAATCGATGAAAACCTTTACATTTTGCTGCCGGACAGGTTTCCGTCTGTGAGTATGAAATAAAAGTATGATATAATTTCTAGTTAATTGATATGAATACTCACCAGTCCTAGATATAATTGCTTAAAAGTATGAAATAATTTCTAGTTCATTGATATTAAATGATATTGAATAATATATTAAATTTCTATTTCCTTTACATTAAATTATGTTAAATAACCTTTCGGTAGTCGGCGCAAAATGAAAAATTACTTCCCAGATAGCACAGGGACGTCTTATGTACGTCCATAAAACGTCCGGTACTGGACGTTCGGGACGTCCTGTGAACGTCCTTGGAACGTCCCAGTTACATCGTAAGACATCCCTAGGACGTCCTGTGAACGTCCTTGGAACGTCCCAGTTACATCGTAGGACATCCGGCGTGGACATTCTATGTACGTCCCTGGGACGTCCGATGTGGAC